GGTGCTACTGACTGAAGTGTCTTTAGGCCATTCCCAAAGGGAGGGGGGGCGCATTACCATGGTCTGTTGCACAGTAGAATTGTAATTGTAAATGGGATGATTCGTCAATGCAATGCTCATGACTGTGCCTGAATTGCAATAGGGAACTGCTGCTTTTTTTCCCCTAATATTTACCATCGTCATTTTTTTCTCTACTTCTTTTGTATGTTTGTCACTCTCTTGTGACCCGCTTTTTCCGGGGTGCATTGATAGTCGAATCAGACTTTGTGTTGTTGAAGCTAGAGAGGTGAACAGAGTAAGTCTGATTCCCTCTTCTCTGCTGACATCCTCGCCTTGGCGCTCATATGACCTAATGCAGTTGCGAGCGCCGTAAAACCTCTCCTAAAACTCAAACTTAATTTTAACGTAACGAAGTAGGTCTGTTCGCGGAAGTTACCAGGGCGCTCTGTTAGCTCAGTTGGTACTGTGCTGGACTTGGGAGCGAATGGTCTCAGTTCGAATCCAGAACCGGGTGTTCTTGAGCTCAGGTGACAGTTGTGGAGTTTACAAGGCTCTCAACTCATTTGGGTTAGTCCTATCGGAGACGGGCTTGAAATTCGAAGGTCCTGCCTTTGATTAAATAACCTCATAGTACTTATATACCTCATAGTGCTGATATGGGTGTTTAACCCTATCCATACGTTCTGCGGTCCTTTTGTACCCCCAGAGTTATATTATTCACATTTTTGAATATTTCTAGATCTTGTGCGAAGATCCTTTTGCAACTTTTAGTATTTCAATTTTTAAAAAATCATTTTGACAGACTGCTATGCAAAGCGTACGGATCGGATTAACGAGTACATTTCCTCTTTGGAAAGTGGTGGCACAGAGTGCCCCACATCGTATGGATACGACAGTAAAACACGACGTACGGATAGGATTAAAAAACCTCATAGTGCTGATACGGGTGTTAAACTCATATACTTTTTTATACTAGTTCGTGGTTCCCTCGCACTCGTTCACGCCGATGACAACAGTAGCAAATACAAAGCAGTTTTGTCTGACAAAGCTGTCTATTCTTGTCTTCACATCTCTCTCTCTCTCTCTCTCTCTCTCTCTCTCTCTCTCTCTCTCTCTCC